GAAGCTATAAGTTGTCCCTTAAGTAATCGATTTAATAATATCATATTTACGAACTTTAAAAACAAGTCGTATGGACGACCTCTTTTCCTTCTGGAATTCGATTAAGAACCATTTTATTATTATAATATATTTTCTATCGTATGAATAGTGCATATAGAATAATGAAGTGCATAAACTTATTAATTAATACTTTAAACACAATAAAAAAAATCGACTCCATTGAATAAGAACAGGATCGTTTGGATTATGCGACTAAAATAAAAGGCGTTGTAATAGTAGTTCTTACACTGAAAATGCGACCATTGAGATTTGCCGTATTATACTTGGACCGTTGAGTGAAGTTTTTAGACAAATTAAATCAAAATCACTGAATGTTTCCTATATTTAGTCATAAAAACAACAAAAACAAATTAATAAACTATAGCTTACCGAATATCCGATAGCCCATCATTTTTTAACGTTCTTGACGTAATATTTTTACAATTTCTCAACGAACACTTCGGCATTTTTGACGAGCGCACAGAGACGGGTGCGACGCGAGACTATTTGAAATGAGCGCACGATTCTAAATTGTGCGCTCATTTTATGCGGACGTCTTTGAGACGCTGAGTGTGTATCTTGGGTTTTTAATACATCAATGTTGTTGCAATATTTTTGCTTACCTATCTTTTGTTAAGAATGTTAGCAAAACAAAATTTAATTGGACACTTAAGTCTTTAATAATATCTAAAGTAAGGATTTAATTGGTATAAGATAATTATTAAAATTAGAATTAAAAATAATTTATCGCGCCGTCTTAATGTTAAAATAAATTTTATTCAATATTTTTATTTTAAATTTCAAATAACTTTATTTCCATAGAATATAAGTTTTAGTTATAATATAACTACAAATAAAAAATAATCTGAACTTATTTTCAAAAGAGACAGATAAAAAACAATTCGGGTTAAAAATTCTCGGTCGAGGTTGTCCCAATTATTTTTTCAGTTACCACAAAACTGCCAATGAGAAAGTTTTTTCGTTTTTATTATACTTTCCTTGAATTTTCGCGTTAATTTATTACGCACCATTGCCATTAAAAATGTGGCAATTTTCGGGGATTTTGTTGGGGATAAGTATCAAGTGTTTTTTTATTTTTTATTTTTCTGTACTCTAGATACCATGTTGCAATTTATTCATGTCAGTTGTCTGGATTGTTATCCTGGTCGACAATTCAAAATTCATTTTGTATCTCTTGGGAATAGACCTTTGTTCAGGGGAAAGGTGCTTGCCTTAATTACTTTCTGTACCGTTGAGACGTGTATAAAAATTTGGTGGCTAATTATGTAAGACGCGAAAACTTAACAAATACATAATCACACTTGGCATTTATATTTTTAGTTTAGATTAGTGGTATTCCTAGAGCTTAGACTTTAGAGTTAGACCATTATTTGGAAATTAGTTTTAAGATGCCCCATAAAAACATATATGTAAAATACTGATTACATACTAAGACTAATTGCAACTTTATGAATATTATTCTTGGTAGGACCTCCTGTGAGTACGCGCGGGTGGGTACCACCACCCTGCCTATTTCTGCCGTGAAGCAGTCTGAAGGGTGAGGCAGCCGTTGTAACTAACTTGAGACCTTAGAACTTATATCTCAAGGTGGGTGGCGCATTTACGTTGTGGATGTCTATGGGCTCCAGTAACCACTTAACACCAGGTGGGCTGTGAGAACGTCCACCCATCTACGCTATAAAAAAAAATCGAATTTACAATATAATCAAAACTGCTTTTGTGTAGGTTATTCAAGACAGTGTGGTAATAAGATCCCGTGGATTGCATATACCTACATAGATCTAACGCATCAATACTCACGAACTCGAAATTCTAACAAGGCTTTTTAGCATCTGCCTCAAGCGAATCATTCAGTACCTACCTTGGACACATTGCAAGAAAATATGGAGATAATTCTGAAAACCTGGTGATTCAGTAATTACTTTGCCAGTGCAAAGTAGAAGGAAAAAAATCGCGGGGTCGCAATCAAATGGGGTGCAGTCCAGTTTGACCAGATGCGCGCCACCCTGGATTTCACCATCTATGATGCTCTCAGAGTAGTCGGAGACAGGACAAGATATCAAAACATTGTGAGGATGTGACTGGAGGAGGAGGTAGTAAAGACCCTCAGACACGAGGAGAATGACTGAAGGTCTGACTGAAGAAATATTTTTTTAACCTGTTGCATTACAATTTTTTTTTGTAGTTAATTACCTACAGTTTGTCCATGACTACAAAAACTTGTGGAGCACGACTGAAGGAGGATGTGGTAATATTATTTTGTTTCAAAACATATTTTTTTAACCTGCAGCACTACCGATCAAATGGGGCGATTAGGGACAAATTCCAACTTGATGAACAATTTTAAGGTAGCTGTTGATGTTTAAAATGCTATATCAGGATCAAAATGATTGAGTCTTGAGGGTATCTTTGTTATCCAATTTAAAGCTATGCAATTAGCATTCCAGTTTAATCAAAAAAAGCAAAAATAGGTGTTATCCCTATTTACACAGAAATTGCGGTTATTGGGGACGAAATTAGTGTTCATAGAGAAATTTGCTAGGGCTGGCACTCCTTGGTTTTAATTTATTTATTTATTTAGTTGCACCAACAAAGTGATCATCAATAAAAAACATTGAAAAACTGACAAAAGTACATAGCAGATGTCACCTCAATCACAGGTGCAATCGAAAGTGCATTGAAAACAAAAATAAAAAATATATAACTAAAACTTGATTACATTTAATTACATATGATTAATTTATATTGACTTGGGAAATTATCCGCGACAGATTTTTCCTGTAAGTTGTGAGACAATTAGAAAAAACATCTAATTCATCACTTAATGTTAGTTCAGCGCAATCGGACAACTCCGAATGAACATTAACGGAGACCGCGCAACCCTGGACATTATTGTAGTCCCAAACGATTCTGTTTAACGGAGGGTAAGCACCTAAATTCGAACGAGCGGGCTTTCTTATAAGCGGTTTATATTTCTTCGTTCTTAGTAAGTACTTAGGGGCTGATATTTTTATCGGAGTTAAAAGCTTAGGTGTGTCCGTTATTCCATGGATTAATCAGGTGGATACCCCCACTTTGAACAAATATTAATATATTTTATTATGTATTACTTAGACATTTTTGTCCACTTTGAGATTTCATTGTTCTTGTCATATGTCTGCACAAAATCGACTTACTTATGTTAAATTGCTTAGCTATTTCAACTAAAGACTTATTCCTAATTTCATAGGCTTCTATTACTGTTTTTAATATTAAGGGATCATATCTCTTATAAGGATTTGCTCTCTTTGATACGTACACGCGAGGCATATCTAAAAATAGAAAATAACGCGTAACTAATATAAATATTTATATAATATATATTTTTTTTTTATTGCCTTTGTAGGCAGACGAGCATACGGCCCACCTGATAGTGAGTGGTTACCGTCGCCCATGGACTTCAGCAATGCCAAGGGCAGAGCCAAGCCGCTGCCTACCGCTTAATACTCTCCACAAGCCTCGTTTGAAGAAGGACATGTCATAGCGCTCGGGAAACACCGTGGAGGGGAGCTCATTCCATAGCCGGATGGTACGTGGCAAAAAAGATCTCTGGAAACGCACTGTGGATGACCGCAGTGGCTCCAGGTAGTATGGATGAACTCTACTCCGGTGGCGGGCGGTGCGATGGTAAAAACGAGACGTTGGTATCATCTCGAACAATTCCTCAGAGCATTCCCCATGGAACATGCGGTACAAAATACAGAGGGACTTCGGTTATCAATGCAGTGTTATCTTATTAGATAACACTGCATTGATAATTTTGAATAAAAGTTGTAGACAAAAACATCATGAATAAACCAAATTCTTACCAACAAATTTAAAAAATATTGTTATGACTACATAGACAACCCTAGAAACACTGTACCTATTTATACTTAGGTCGTTTCACGTATTCTCATCCCAATTGACCCCTTTTTCGTTGTTATTTGTACCTGACACGTCCCCAATATCCCCAAAAACAACAGATTTTTACATTTATTTTTATTTTATCATTTTTTTTTTATTGCCTAGATATGTGGACGAGCTCACAGCCCACCTGGTGTTAAGTGGTTACTGGAACCCATAGACATCTACAACGTAAATGCGCCACACACCTTGAGATATTAGTTCTAAGGTCTCAGTATAGTTACAACGGCTGCCCCACCCTTCAAGCCGAAACGCATTACTGCTTCACGGCAGAAATAGGCGGGGCGGTGGTACCTACCCGTGCGGACTCACAAGAGGTCCTACCACCAGTAATTACGCAAATTATAATTTTGCGGGTTTGATTTTAATTACACGATGTTATTCCTTCACCGTGGAAGTCAATCGTGAACAATTGATAAGTACGTATTTCATTGGTACCCGCCTGCGGGAACACCGTTGCATCGCTACATACGAATGCACCGGACGTCTTATCCTTTAGGCCACGACGACTTCCTAGCTACATTCTACATTCATACATATAAATAGTACATTCAAACCAATTACAACTGAGACTTGCCTTTAATATATATATGATGGTTCAAACACTAAATTGCGTTTATAAATCACAGTCGTTTTCTATTATTATAAAATAAATAAAAGAGAGCAAAGTTCCTAGCACTAAAATAATTGCCACTACAAGAAGTTAATTTAAAACGCGATTTTTTATAAGCAGTTATTATCATTCATATTCAGAGTTGTTTTATGAACTTTCAACATTCTACTATACACTAAAAAAAATGGAAGATTTTGCAAATATTAAAAAACTAGTATAGCGCATCGAAAGATTTTCCTGGTTTTTTCCCCAATCACCTCTCGATCCCTAATCGCCCCATTTTACGGTACTGAAAAGTTTTTGTAGTTATTAATGTTTGTCAATTATATAATCACTGTCAAAATAGGTTTGAGGAAAGTGTCAAACAAGTGTCAGTGGTGAATCGCGGATGTTTCATATACTCTGTTGCCTTTCAAGTTCTTGATAAAATAGTGAAATATTTTTCTTAGGTTCTGCTAGTCAAAGTAAACTAATTTCCATTTGCAATTTAAAACCGTATTGTTCTGCGAATGTGTCATTGCAAATGATGAAACTTGTACATTCTGTACACGTCTACGTATGTTTGGTATTTTTGCTATCGATTACAGAAGCTTCCGATGAAGCTAAAGTTGATAAAGTGCATGTAGACTGCAGTACGTTAAGATTGGGACAATTTATTTGTCCAAACCCAAGTATTGATCAAATAGATCCAGACACACAACAATTCAGAGGATGTATAAAAGGAAAGGAAATTCCGTCCGAAGGTGAAGCCGAAGGTACAGTATTTTAATACTTCATTTATAGAATAGTGTTAATTACTAACTGAAGAAAAAAAGCATAGTATTTTTTAGCACTATTATAATACGCTTACAACGCTTCAAAATTCAAAGTAAACTAATAAAGTCAAATTAATTAGGTTACAATTAAATGAAAAAGCATCATGGCAGGATAAATTTGATTTTGAAACTATAAAAATCTTTTTAACGAGGACTTTGTGAATTCGTTTTAGTTTTGTTATGTTTTGTTGCATATGCATTTTTCAACATTCCTAAACCTATTTGTTTTGTTTGCCAGAAAAAAGTAGTCTGTTAAAATTATTTTTTGTTCATACCAGTTAGTTTGTACCTTTTATTGTAAGATTTCTGTATACAATAAAGAGTGAAATAAACTTTATATACAATTAAAATAATAATAAATTTGTTTTACAGTGGAGTGTATAGCAGCTGATGGAATAATATGTAATGAAACAAAAAATGGAACATTTACAAGGAAACTACCATGTAAATGGACGTAAGTGAATATTTTATGTACATTTAGCTACCATCAGAATGTGGGTTAAATTTCTTGTTGACATATGAGAAAAAAAATCATTCTCAATTTAATATTAGTATTAAATGTTATATATTAATTAAATGACCAAAATTTTAAATAGGCAGTTGAAGATTATATTGTGGTTACTAAAAGCTCTATCAGACCCCAGTCACTTGTTTAAATTGGATCAAATGATGTCTTTTTAAAATTACAGGTTTTCAGGAAATGATTGCTATCTTGTTGTTTATTTAGTTGAGATAAAACTTTTAAAACTTTACAATTGAAACGGGACATTGAAATGTTTTAGTGTTGAAATAGAATTTACATCATGTTGTTGTTATTGTTCAAAACAGTGTGTTGAAATTAAAATGCTTGTAACTTTCTTATATCTGAATAACTGTAGTATTGTTCACTATGATTTACTTTATTAATGGATACCTTCTATGAGACAAAAAATATAAACTCAGATTCTTATTTAAAAATGATTTAGCCTTTTATGAAAAAATGATACAAAAGTAATTTGACAAGTCAACAACTTTTTTTCTAGTACTGTGAATTATCTATAGATATTTAAAAGTTTTCAAAAAAGTCATATGTAGTGTATGCACAATGTCCAGCGATATATCATTCTATAAAATATATGATTTCAGGAATGGATATTCTCTAGAAATTGCTTTATTACTATCTGTATTCCTGGGAATGTTTGGATTGGATCGCTTTTATTTGGGATATCCTGGAATGGGTTTAGCAAAACTATGTACTCTGGGATTCATGTTCCTTGGACAGTTATTAGACATTATATTAATAGCTGCACAGGTATGTACATGAAACAATTTAATAGAACAAACATCGGCATAACTAATTAACAGAAATATTCTAACATAACAATGACATTATGTTGATTAAAATATATATAAATGTTCTTTTCATAGGTTGTGGGACCTTCAGATGGGTCTGCTTATGTCATTCCATATTATGGTGCTGGAGTTACTGTTGTTCGGAGTGATAATGAGACTTACCTACTACCACAACCAGATTGGCATAACATCACCTGACAGTGGGGAACAATATCCTTCGAAGTTGATGAGGATTATGAGTGGACTTAATGTGTTTTTGTATTTATGTGATGTTGGACATTACATAAATGGTGATTAAGACATTTAAATAGATTTTAAAGAGTTACAACTCTATGTTACTATTGAATTTGACTTGTACATACATTTAATATTCAGAAAGAGTCACACATTATCTAGTGAGTGTTTTGAATACTGTTAAATTTTATGTGAATGTTATTCGAAACTGAGAAATAAATATAAATTATACAAAGATTTTTACTATATTATTATTATTATAACAAAACAAATTCAATTTAATTTTGCACTCTTTTTACATCCTCTGCAGTTGGCTGTGTTTCCTGTACTACAACATCATTGCTGGGTGCAGTAAGAGTGAAAATCACTGGTAGATTTGATAGAACTGAATTGTCATATTTCTCTAATAATCTTATCCACGATAACAAAGAATCTCGTGATGATGAACCTGTAACAAAAATAGCTTCTTAATATGTAATTATATTTATTGAAAAAGAAGTTCCTAAGCATAATAAAATTGTAGTTGTTATTTCAGTATTCATCTATACTACCCAGAACTGCCATTCTTTGACAGTATATTTCCAGAAATGTTGTTTGCAACATAACATAATTAACTTCCCATATCGTTTACTGAACTTCTATGACATAATTGTTCCATCCTTTTGCAAATGAGGTTTGGGGAGAATACTCTATCGGTATTATTGGATTTACTTTGTTAATAATAACTTGGTAATTCTAATTAAGAAAGGCGAAACATGTAATATATATTATGTTCATAATTCATTACCTGTAGCACATACAGCTACTATTGTACCATCATCCTGCTCATGTACAGTACATTTAACTACGGGTAATGTAGTTTGACCAATAAAACCAGGTATTCCGGAAGGTTTCTTTAAATTTGATACATCTAAAAATTTAACCAGTGATATTAAAATAAGAAATATGTTAATAGTTTCATTTTTAATGGTGTCAGCATAGCACCAACTGTTTTGAACACATCAAAAATGATATGCATTAGGGAATCAGAATGCTAAAGCTAAAAAAAGTACTGGCTCTTTTACTTCTTAGGCCAGATAATAAACTGGACTACTAGTTACTAGTAGTTAGTACTACTAAGTAGTAAGTAGTACTAGTAAAAATTTGGTAATAAATTCATACCATCTTGGTCAGAGTCATCTTTATGTTCTGGTCTTACTTTACCCAATAATGTAAAGTAAGTGACAACTTGCTCCTTTAAATACACTTCGTAAGGTCCTCTTACAACAAGGGGCTCTTCAGGGGGTTGCTCTGCGAGTAATATCTTTTGTGTTTCACTTTGGGCACTTACTATCCATGTTTTATCTATGCAAGCTTCAATTTCTTCTGTCTGACAAAAATTAGAATTGTATTGTATGTTTATATCAACTAATAAGTGTGAAAAATGATGGAAACTTTGTATTTTGCATTCATCGCAACAAAGGAGATCGACCACAGCCCTTCTGGCATTAAGTGGACACCGGTATGCATAAACATCATAATGTGTTTGAAATCACTCATCTTGAGACATGACGTCTAAGTCTCTATATTCCAGATTCCATTTAAATTTAATTTAAAATTTAAATTTATGAATGATATATAAAAATGAAAGTTTTTGCTGGTTTAATTTTATATGCCAACAGATGTACAAGCCATCTAGTAGTTTAAAGACCAGAAAATGACATAAGAAATACTTTATCCTGGGAAAAGTGAGCATATTTCATTCTTTCTCGTCGTCGTGGCCTAACGGATAAGACGTCCGGTGCATTCGTGTGGAAGCGATGCACCGGTGTTCGAATCCCGCAGGCGGGTACCAATTTTTCTAATGAAATACGTACTCAACAAATGTTCACGATTGACTTCCACGGTGAAGGAACAACATCGTGTAATAAAAATGAAACCCGCAAAATTATAATTTGCGTAATTACTGGTGGTAGGACCTCTTGTGAGTCCGCACGGGTAGGTACTACCGCCCCGCTTATTTCTGCCATGAAGCAGTAATGCGTTTCGGTTTGAAGGGTGGGGCAGCCGTTGTGACTATACTGAGACCTTAGAACTATATCTCAAGGTGTGTGGCGCATTTACGTTGTAGATGTCTATGGGCTCCAGTAACCACTTAACATCAGGTGGGACAGCTAAGCAATAAATAAAAAAAAAAAATTCTGATTAACGAATTTACTTCTTGTCAAACTGTAATGCATAAAGCAAATATACACCCTCCTTTAAATAAATGGGCTCTTAAATACAAATCACTAAATTTTGACTTATAAACATCTTTCACTATACAGTTGGTACTGTAATCATAACTAGAGAAATGAAAGAATTTTTCACCTGCCAAATTTCAATTTTCATAGTAGGATCAACGGAAGTTATCCGATGAATAGCCATTTTGGCAAGTTCCAATGTGTCATTCGGCAATTCATCTGGTAAATACCATGGACTTAGATTCTTGAATTTAGGCATCCAGTACAGCATGCGCCAAAATTTTCTAAGAGGTATGCCTCTTTTTCCAAAAACGTTTAATAACATTTGCTCTAGTTCACTGTCTGGCATTACTTCTGTGAATTTAATAAAAAAATAATTATCAGTAGTCATACCTTAGCAATTTTATGGAATAACGTAAATTTTAGACTTGGCTTGTGTATTATAGTGCTATTAGTAATGATTGTTAATATTGGCTGCTCAAGTGGCTATTTAGCTTGTTTGTGTACTTTTAATTGTATAATTGTCCTTTCAAGTGACACAGGATAAAACAACAGATTTATTACATTTACAAATTGTATTCAAATTATTATTTTTTTAATTATTTTTTTATTGAAGCACAAAACAAATTACTACCAAAGAGATTATAAGTATTAATGTTTAACATAACAATCTGATATCCATACTATTATCTTCCATCTGTTCAAGGAGATCCACAGCGCACTGCTGTTGCTTCGGATAGTGCATGAATTCAGCCTGAAATATATTTGACGGTATAAATTTGCCTTTGGGCAGTACGTCTACTAATGCTTTGTACGCTTGTAAGTCTTTATGCACACCGAATTCCTTCATTCTAGCTAAGGCGGCATAGATAAATTCGACGTGTCCTCTTCTTCTGTTGTCCTGATTTTCAAACATTTTGATTGCTTCCAAATATGTATCTTTATTTTTCTTTGGCTTATTAGCAAAAGGATCATACACAGCCACTTTTGTGTTTGAGCTTTCCCATCTTCTATACATAAAACGAGAAGACGGAAGTCGCAAAATATGTCTTAAAATTTTTGTAGCCATTGGTAGCGCTTATTGGTTATTGTTAAACTTGCAGGCCTTCATTAATTATTCAGTTTAATTATAGATTTGTAACTTAAAATAACAGCTATTCACAGTTTCAAATCGTTCTCAACAAAGAAGATAATTTAAAATTTCAATTTGATTTTCAATTACATATTTTTCATAAAACTTGACATTTGATCAGTAGTAGTAGTAGTTTTATTTTTTCAACTGGAAAGGCAAAAATGTAATACCGTACAGCCTAATCTTAAATATATATCTATATACATTTTTTATATAGAAATTGTAGTATGAAGTGAAATGAAGTTGATTAATTTGCGACAATAATCAATTGACATGAATCAAATGAAATGAAATGAGATGAGATGATATGGGATCAAATATAATCTCAGTAATATGGTGGTTCTCTACTGAGAATTTGTTAGGTGGACTTTCTGGATCCCAAGAAGCTACGTCCAGCGGCTTGTTCAAGAGCTCAGGTTGGTAAAATGTGGTCTATAGACTTACGCAAATGTAGTCATAGAGTATACATTTAAGAAACATTAAGGTCGAACAAAATACCAAGTCTGGTTACAAGTTCTGTCACGTACTTTTTTATTTCAAATTAGAGAGGAAATTAAAATTTTGTTTCATTTCTAAACATGAGTCAATATCATTTTTCAGAGCACGAAATCTTTAAACATGTATTTTTCTATTGTCGGCATACGAACATACAACCCACTTTCTATCGCTCATGAATATGCTCAATCCTAGAGGGACAGACAAATTGAATAAAAGTAGTGTTATTGTATATTTAGATTATTGTCTTTTAATGAATGTGTGTGTTGTCTCTGTTATCGTTCAGTCTACAACAACTGAAATTGAAAATTTGGCGAAAATTGACCTTCATCATATTTCATATCTTAAAATAAAGACTGCGGTGTAACTCACAAATGACTATTCAGTATTAAAAAAACTCTCAGGAGAACCAGCAATCTCTCTTTTACAAATTTAAAATTAAATTTTGTTAAAATAGACTTTAAAATTATACAAATTACAGTGAAAGTACAATTTGAAGATGAGTAACAGAAATATAATGAAATAAAAGCAAAGTCAAATATAATTTAAAATATAGTAGTTTGAAATTGTAGAGTTAAAAATTTAAAAATACAGAGTAACAAAAAATTTAATTCATTTCTAAACAGGAATTAAAGTTCACAGTTCAACAATTCTATGCAATACAATAATGCGCTTCTTTACAGATTCAGACACTATGCCAAAGTAACATCATTTAACATTAAAGTCACATCATTTTAATATGAAAGTCACACGATGACCTCTATACTAAGTTGTAGTCTGAATTTCTATCATAGAGCAGTCTGCGTTTATGCTCTATGTTGTTCACAGTCATTTCAAAAGTACCTATATCCAGCACATCAGTCGGCTGTAAACTTCCAACGTATGTGTATGTTACTCTGTTTTAAAAACTTCTTCGTATTTTACGAAAACTCTTAAAACACTAAAAGTAAATGAAAAACGAATGTATGGTCGAAAATACATATAATTGCTGCTAGTTACACTTAATTAAATAATTAAATATAATATTACAAAATAAAATAATTACAAAACTTTAACATACAGCCAGATATGTTGCCCAAGATGTGTAAAAGTGCAAATTATTTTATTAGTGTTTTTCTCGTTATGGTGACTTTTACTTTATCCGGTAAGTTTAGTTTTTTAGTACTCACATTGTATTTAATTTTACTTTAAGTAATTTATGTATTCGAAATTTCTTAATTTAATTTTGGAGGGAATAATTTTGAACATAAACCATGCCATCCCCATAGTGCCAGAACTATTGTAGGTTGAAACGAATTATTTACATTGTACGAGTGTGTAAACGTGGAACTTTTATCTTCATTCAAGGTTAGTCCGTTCAGTATTAAATAATTTTAAAGCGCCTAGTAGTATTTTGTATTTCGTTAAAATTAAAATGACCCTTGAGATCCGCTTTTTTTTATAAGTAAATATCTAAATGTATTAAAACGATGTTCGAGATTAAACTCACGACGATAAAATTAATTTTCAATAGGTATAACGTAAAATTGCCATAGATTTAGGCTTAAAATAGACAATTGTTCAATAAGTGGGCGTCTTGGATTATGCCCAATTTTAAAGACACGCTAACCACGCTCTAGTACACATTGCACCGAAGCCAAATAATACGCAAACAACTCATAAACAAATCTGTTAACAAAAAAATAAATGAAACATTCTAAATCTAAAGGTTTTGGGCGATCAAAAAATAAGCTGAAACAGTTACAGTATAATTGTAAAAATAAATATACCTACTACAACCTTGGAATATAATTATTACATACATAGTTACATTGTCATATTTTAGTATCGAAGTTTTTGAAATTCGAACAGCATACGTTCATATTGTAATTTGGTTGAGGAATAAAATGTTAACGTTATTGAAAAAGTCTTAATAATTTTTCATAGAAATAAAAAAATGTTTAGAAGTAGGTTAACTGTATCATACCAAGAGTACTAAAAATCAAACTAGCTGGAACTAGCAGAAGCAGTTGATAATCTAATCGAATCCGATTTTTTTCGTACATTTGAAATTGGTATGCAAATAATAACATTGAATTTGCGAAAAAGGTGCAGACAGATTCTTGATTATACATAGTATTAAAAAAAATACAAAAACTCCATAATCATAATCAGAAACATAAATGATTATAAAGTAGCAGCACATCAAGAATTTTACTGTACCTACCCAAGTTACCGCGGTTTGGTTGTGGAGAATCATTGCGCTATGTATTCGAATTCTCTCTACCCCAGATGGGCCGTTGCTCGCTCACCCACCTACGCTTTAAAAAAATCTCACTATCGCGATGAAATTCGACCAAACATTGATTGACGCACAACCAGCCATTAGATAGGGAAAAATAAATAAAAAAGGGTGTGGTGTCGTGGGACACCGGATAGGAACGAAGTTCCTTATTATAAAAATATTAATTTTAAGTTCTTTTGAGGTATAAAGAAAATAATTATTTGGGTATACATTTTTCATTATGATTTTTTTATTGATAAAAAAAAACTACTTTACAAAGTTATCAACTTTATTTTATTCACAATGATTTATAAAAGTTATATAATAAAAATATGTTAATTTTTGTACGTTATTACAAAGTTAAGTCGTACACTGTATGAATTACTAATAAAAATCTTACGCTACGGACATTTTTTCCCGGTTAGGGTACCCCTCCGCATCGTCCCATAAGGAACATCGTTCCAAAAACACAGCTTTAAAATTCAGTGTTTAAAGTAAACTGTACTACTATTAAGCCGGAGATACATACATAATTATAATATGTCGGGCAACCGATAGCCGAACGATATTAAATGGAGACCAAACATTGGTCGCCGTGTAGTCAGAGTCGTGCGCTCTCATTTCCGTTAGAAATATATCTTGAGTCGACCGGTAAAGGCTTAAATTCGTCGGTGGAAAGGAATCGGCTAGTGCGGAAAATGAACGTGCAGCATGCCATACTTTAAAATTGCATTTAGAACTAAGTGATTATTTCAGTAAGATTTTGGTAAGCACATTAACCCTTTTCGGTCCTAAGACTAATGTAACGTAAGACCATATGCCCAATACATGTGGACACTGAACCTCCAAGGGTTAAAATAAATCACTGGTAGAGAATAGTTTCTACACCAATAAAAAACCTGAAATGCAAGAAAAAGCTGATTGGCAATAAATAGGATAGAATAAGGAACTAAACATATTTCAAAATACACATATTTTTGCCTAGCCACGATTCGGATTGAAAAATATGCCCTACCTAGAATTTGTCTTCAATAAGTATTCAATTATATTATACAAATATATCAGATGAAGAATAAGTGCTAGCTCTCAATACAGTTTCCATAAAACTCAGATCGTAGTTTGACAAGACGATTGTATCTATTCACGTTCAAGCCTCGGTCACCGTCAACCCAGTAAGCTCTCTTCGCAGTTGACACGCCTGCTTACTATCCCGGTAGGAACAAATCTTTTATTGTGAAGGCATTTCAGACTGCAGCCGGGACCCTAGTATACTGGATTTGGAAATGGCGTATCAAAATTGACGCTCTAAAACGCTGAGTTGTGTTCTTTCAAAAGGTTGAGGTCGATGTGAGTTTTCGTTGCACGCGCAAGAACATCACTCAACATCACTGGGCCACAAAGCTGATTTTTTTATTTTTATTGCTTAGACGGGTGGACGATCTCACAGCCCACCTGATGTTAAGTGGTTACTGGAGCCCATAGACGTCTACAACGTAAATGTGCCACCCACCTTGCGATATAAGTTCTAAAGTCTCAGTATAGTTACAACGGCTGCCCCACCCTTTAAACCGAAACGTCTGGGAGTCATCCTGAATAATTTATGACTTCACGATTCCCTATGAAATTAGTCCGTGATCACCCTGCGTTCATCCTCGGCAGGTTCACCTGATCCTGCGGCAGATGCATTCACGATGCATTTGAGAAGTTAGGCTTCTATCGTAGGCGTTCGTGCAGTGGTTAGCAAAGCCCCTTTCCTGCTGAATCGTCGAGTTTTCCCACCAGTCCTCGTGGAAAGGTTTCGGGGCCACAAGCAATCCTTAATCATAAAAATACACATTCAGGGTCAAATAACTTTATTCAAACAAATTATCATTGATGATGCTCTAGGCCCAAAACACGTCATTTCGGATTCTCCCAATCCACTGACGGTGTTTTTAGGTACCTCAAGCACCGGTCATCTTTCTCGTCGAACCCGTCGCTTGCGATGAAGGCCTCGACGAATAAATTAAACCACAGACACAGCCCACTGAGTTTCTCGCCGGATCTTCTCAGTGAGTCGCGTTTCCGATCCGGTGGTAGATTCTGCGAAGCACGGCTCTTGCTAGGGTTCGTGTTAGCAACGTCATCAGGTTTGAGCCCCGCAAGCTCACCTACTAGTTAAGGTTACGCTGAAATAGCCTCTCAAGGCTATCAGCTTAGGTAGGAAAAAAAAGATGCTCTAGGCCAATCAAAAAGGCGCATTAACATTTATTGTAATAACGTTTTGGTACCAAGTAGTCCAAATCCCCATTCAGCGCTTTACTATTTAAAAAAGTAAAAAGTTTTAACACAATTCAGAAATGTAAATTGCATTTATAATAAACTAGTTTTATTCAGAACTTCGGTTAATAATTACAACCTTGTTTTTTTTTATCAAAATGTCTAGACTAATTCGACTTCATAAATTAGGTTTACCGAGTACATATACACGTATCGAGGAAACGTGCGTACGTTGTAAAGTAATAAAATTCTTTATACATAAATATATCAGGTCGACCTTCGCAACATTAAAAGCGTACTCGATTTTTCACATATGTCCGCAAATTACGTTTAGATTAGCTACACGTTTTATTATTATAGTAATAATAATGAATCTTAATAATTTGTATTAGATAAAACATAGTTATCTAATACTAAATGATTCCTGGATAATATCTACAGAGAAAAAATAAATAAAATAAAATTAATATAAACAGTGGACACTAAAGTGTAGTTGAGGTTTTCAAGCCATTCAGAAGTATCTCAATGCAATTTTAATAAGAAAACGAATATAAATTTAGTTATTATTACTAGGGAAATAGCTTTACCGCATATTCATTTGAATTTTTTTTATTATTGCCCTTCAGGCAGACGAGCGTACGGCCCACCTGGTGGTGAGTGGTTACCGTCGTCCATGGACTTCAGCAATACCAGGGGCAGAGACGAGCCGCTGCCTACCGTACCTTTTCACTTCTTCGTGTAAAATCATTCATAATATATATTTAACATCTTAACCCAGACTAGTACTATAGATACGCAAGTAAATAAACGCAATGGTATTTACTGAAAATTTTACATAATTTCCTTCAAGGTTAAAAATCTCAGGTAAATTTGATAAAACACTTTGTGATGGAGTTTCAGCCTTAGATAAAGGACTGATAAATGATAATTTTAGCTGCCGCCGCGTTGCTCTTGCTACAATTTTTTTAATTTTTTAGGTGGGGTATGAACTCAAGGTCCAGATGGTGTTTAGTGGTTAGCGAAGACAATAGATGTCACAGAGTAAACGCCGCGACCCATCTTGAGAAAAAAGGTGCTAGTTTATTTGAAGAATATTTTGTACTAGATCAATGACACCCAGTTTTCAATAGTGTCCGTTCTATTTTTCGAGTCTCAGAGGTGTGGCGTTTTTGGGCTCACTTCCAAACGCCTACGATATTCGTGACGTTAGATCCCTAACAGATATTAATAAGTAAACAAATAAAACTTCAAGATTTGCCGTTTGCGACATTATATACTGGCGATATTATAAACTTGTTAGCGAAGTGTCGTCTAAATTCTAGAACTATTAAGGAGAAGAGGTTAGTTTGTTAAACTATTGACCAGTTTGCGTGGACACTTTCAAACTAATGTTAGTTCTATTCGATAAAAAAAAGGTATTAAAAGAATATAATAAATACAAAGACAAAATTTTTTTTTCTTCCTACCTATGCTGATAGCCTTGAGAGGCTATTTCAGCTTCACCCTAACGTGTGTAGGTGAGCTCACGGGGTTAAAACCGGAGTGTTGCTAACACTGACCCTAGCATGAGCAGTGCTCCGCAGAATCTACCACCGGATCGGAAACGCGACCCACTGAGAAGA